TGTAAAAAACTTTATACTGACAGTGTATATGTGATTAACTATATATATATATATATATATATATATATATATATATATGTATATATATCATAAGATTGAGAGCATATCAAGGGAGAAGGTATTTTATTTTGAGAGATGAGAGGGTTAAACCTTAAATTAATTTAACAAATCAGATTAAATTAGATAATTAAATCTCTAATCATTTAATACTTCTCTGCTCCTTTTTCTCTTACTCTTTTTTTTTCTCCACCACCTCCTCCTTCCTATTCTCTCATCTCCTCCCTTCTAGTCAACATCAATCATTAGCACAAGCCTGCAAGGTATGCTTATGTCTCATACTTGGCAATTCACCCTATAGCATGCTTCTGCAAGTGGAACAAAACTCCATCTTCTATATCTGCAACGATGGCGAGCCGCGACTGAACAATGATGGGTAGTTCCCATGATGGTGTCAAGTTGCGACTAAACGACGATGCGAATCATCTTTCTTGTGACAACTATGAGTTTTTTGTTCAATGGTGGAAGATGGTTAGGACTCTGAGATGGTGAATCAATGTGACTAAGATTTGGGAAAACTTGGACACAGGGAAAGGAGGAGGGGTACGTGACAGGTTTTTAATAAGTTTTAATCTAATTCGTTAAATTAATCTAAGGATTATATTTTAATCCTTTCATCTCTCACAATAAAATACCCTCTCACTTGATACACTCCTTATATATATATATATATATAAGAATTAATATACTTTCAATTATTATATACTACTTTACAAATTTAGAAGAAAAAATATACATGAGAATCTATTAAAAAAAATTTAAAATTATATATATAGGCATAACATAAATATTCCTTTTTATATATATAATATAAATATATTTTGTTTACATTGGTAAAAGATGAATATCGTAACATTGAAAGATAAATTATAACTTATTTAATTATTTTATTTAATTGAATAATGGTTTATATGTTTTTTTATATTTTAAAACTTTAAGAATTATGAGATTCTTGTAAGTTTATGTTGTTTGGGAATCGTCTTAAGTTAAGGTTATTGTTGATCAAGTTTAAGGAAAGATGTTTAAGATTTTCTTAAGACTTAAATTTCATAAGTTTATTTTCTTAAGAAAATAATATTTTTTATCATGACTTCATATTAAAAGAAATAAAAATTAAATCCCCAGTCTTTAATTAAAAAATATAAATACTAAATCATTTGACCTTTCAATTTTTTTCTTCAATATCCATAGTTTGATTGTTAGTTTTTTTGTTGTGTTGCACAATAATGGATTCATGTTTCTCTCATAGTTACTTTTGATAATTTTTATATCTACGTCTAATTGATTCACACTCGACACTGCCTATCTTGTGCCTAACGTCAATGAGGGAGAGAGTCTTTGATTTGCATCACAGTCGGTGCGATGAAGTTACATCCAATGTGAAGACAATTTTTGCACTTGGAAGAATCATGATTTGACTCCAATCACCTAAAAATCCGACACCAATCCAACATGCAACTAGTAAACCAACATATACACATTATAAGAAACTCTAATTCACCAAAATACACAACATGCAACCATATCCAATCAAGGATTCACCAATTTCTCTTTTAAGCAAGGAAAACCCAAAACACAAGACAATAAGGTTCTAACACTTGAATTCAACATGAATACCATCCAAAACATGAATCAATACAACAAAATCAACTCATATAACATGAAAAATTAGACAATAAGTTGTCCTTACCTTGAATCACCAAGAAAAAAGGAAGGAGAAAGAAAAATGATGAAGAACACAGTCCTTCAAGCTTTCTCTACATGAGAACACCAACTCTTAATTCTCAGCTCTAAAGCTTCAAATAACAACTCAACAACAAACTAAACTCTAGGAGAAGGATCCAAGCAATTTGTGAAGTCAAAAGGAAGAGAGGTAATTTCCTTTAACTTTAGAGTCTTCCTCTCTAACTTCTCTCTAGATTTTCTTAAGGAATGAATTTATGAAATTCACATCTTAAGAAAATCTTATATATCTTTTCTTAAACTTGGTGATTGATTACTTCAACTCAAAACAACCCCTAAATAACTAAACTCATAAGAATTCTTTAATCCTTATCGTTTTAAAACATTTTAAACAGCAAATCACATAACTCATTTACTTAATAAGCAATTATATAATTCACAGTGTTACATCGACGACTCACTTCTTTATAAAACTTGGTTAATCATCTTTAGTGTGGTATTCCTTCCTAACTACCTTTTTTTCCACTTTGTTGGTAAGTTTTTAATGTATTTAATTTTTTAATAAATTTGATAAAATAAAATCCTTGTATCTTTTAAAATTTTATATATTGACTTTTCAAGAAGTCAATTAAAGGAATTCATATTTTTAATTCTTTTGGGATAAATTGACTTTCTATTAAAAAAATTTTGAACATGTCTAATATAGTTTGCCTAGAGTATTATATCAACCCCCAACAAGATTGCGCAACTCAACATCATCCACTTTCTTAATTCCAATTGGTTGACCCCCAGAAATCATTTTATTTTGTTGACGATGTAAAGTGCTTTTGTTTTTATTATCGCATGCCACTTAGGAAATAAGACACTCGAATTTTTATAGAGTTTAGATTAAATAATTTTATATAAAAAAGTATTGTTTTCTGAAAGAAAAACAGAAATAAAAGTCATTTCTTAAAATTTAAAACGTTGTTAAACTTGACATACACTCTTGTATGTGCGAAGGGTAAAGAAATATAAAAGTAATGATGTTGGAAAACTTTAGCTGAAATGGCATAAGGAATATTGGGAACAAACTAATCATAACTTTTTTCATTTTTGGTACTAAGGTGGTTGATTTATTTAGTTTTTGTTTTTTGGTAAAACATGATTGAGTTAGTTTCTTTATATAAAAATGATTATATTTTATACTTTCTTAAAATAAATAATAGAGTAATGATTTCTTCATAGAAAAGTAATACCAAACATGTTCTGGTTCTAAAACTTTATTAATTGGGGTTTTGAATTAAGACTTGGTACCGAGATCTGTGATTAAGTTTAAGACGTTGGATTTTGGATTTATGTTTGAAGTTGAAGGTTAGGTTTAAGATCTATAAAGACGTATGGTTTAGGGTTCGGTTATTACATATGATTAAAATTTAAGACACAGTAATAAAGTGTGGGCCATTGTCCCGTTCTTTCTTGATTTTATCTTGGGCCTAATTTCTTAAACAAACAGACCCATAGAGACTTCTTACTGTAACTGCTCGACCAACCTTTTATACTCTTAATAGCAAAGGCCCATAAACTCGCTCCCTCGGCTAAGAATAGCCCAACTCAAAAGTTATAGCAAGTACTTGGCCCACAAATTAAACTTTCTGGGTTTAGATAATTAAGCCTAACCCAAGTTATAGCAAGTTGCTTCATTAGCCCACATGCCAAGGCCATGTGGACAAAATTATACCCCCATCAAAATTGTTTTAAAAATATTTTATATTTATTTCATGCCACTAATATAAGAGATATTTGTTGTAACGATCCGATGTGCTATGCTAAAATTTATACATATTATCAAAATTTAACAAGTTTGTCACCAAACTTTTTCGGTGACTACTTTGAGATTCTTGTTTCTTGTCAAATCTCACAAGTGTCACGTTCTTTTGAGACTCTCGGTGTCACAAAATCCAAAGTCACTAACACCGTCAAGATTCACATCCATGATCCATCCATGGCCCACCTAGTTAAACACTTATCCATTTGGGCCTTTACCACCTATCCTCTGAGTAGACTCCGCACGTGTCAACTCATGAATCCGAAAGCGACGACGCGCATTTCACTTGAAGAATACACCAACACGTGTCCATGCACGTGGCAGCTAATCATCACCGCCACACGGCACGTGTCAGACTTTTAAGACCCCTTGACCAGATTTTTATGCTTGGTTTCCCTTTATAAACCCCATGCACCTTTGCATCATCCATCAACACTCACTTGAACCTTCTACAACCATAATTCAAATCCAAACACAAGAACTATGGCAAGTTATCAGACTCATCACGATGATCAGGGTCGTAAGATCGATGAGTATGGCAACCCAGTGAGAGAAACTGACCAATATGGCAACCCAGTTCATGGCACTACTGCCACTGTTACCTACGTCACCGCCACCGGCGG